GGGACACGCTCTGCGCCGTCTACCCCCGGCTCCGCACCCCCGCACAGCGCTGTCCGGTTGTGGGTGTGGTGGAGCCGCGGACCCCAAGGCAGGCGGGGTCGGTGAAAGGTGGCTGACCCTGCAGTGCAGTCCCGCTGCTCATCACCAGAGAACACACCGCCTGGTCCCCGAGCGTGTGCTGCAGCCGGGGAGCTGGGCTGAGGAACCTGGGAGCGGGTCCCGTCCGCACATTCTTACTGTCTTGTGCCTGTTAACGAGGGCTTTGTGTTTTGCAGGAAAGCCGAGGAGTATCTGCGGCTGTCCCAGGTGAAGTGCACGGGGTTAATGGCTCAAATGACGGCGACGAGCAGCGCTGTGATGTGCCTGGACCTGGCTGCGAGTTTCATGAAACAACCGATTGACAAAGTAAGATGTGGTGGCTGCCAGTGCATTCTGTGTTAGTCCACTGAAATCATTGTTCTGTGAAGTGTATGCTGGGAGCAGGAAAGGGAAATAATAATTGACTTACTAGTGTGCTGCTAGACACAGCGTTAGAGCTTTCACTGTTCAGAATTTGAAACAGGGCAAATTGAGATCAGTGTCATATTCACTTCTCAAGTTGAGTTTGCTTTGGTATAATTTCAGCTCTTTCAGTAACAAATAAATTACTAGCAGGGATGTTAAATTTAAGATCTGTCCCTTTTACTGTGAGAGGGAAACAGAGGCTCCAAGGAATCCCTCCCTGTAGAGATACCATAAACCTCCACCTGCAAACCTGCCAAAATAATGCCTGAACAAGATGTTCATCGTTGTCCATTTACAGACAGAGGAGAATTTAATTGGACCTGACCCCGTGAGGAATAGCAGGAAGGTGATGCTCATGTCTTCAAGTTGCCCAGATTTTGCTAATTCTTGTTTTTAACCATGCTGTGATAAAAGGGACACATCATATTATATGGAAATATCAAACCTCGTTTCCAGTGAAATGGTCTAAAGATATCACTGTGTTAAAAGCTGTGGCATTCCTAGGTGGTTAATCTTTCTGTGTGCAGTCAAAATGTGCATTATTCATTGCACAAATTTGTTTAATGTAGCAATTGAACTTTATGGTGTTGTGTTGATTGCCTCATTAAGATGTCAGGAAGGAATCTTGCTAATTCTTCGGTTTATCTTCTTGAAAGAGCTACTGTGTTAAACTCTCTGGGTTGAACAAGAACACCTACCAGAACTCTATGAAGTCCTTGGAGTGTTTGCTGGAGGTGAACCCCAGGCTGGGAATGCGAGACTTGGCTGTGCAATTTTGCTGCACAGAGGCAGTGAACATGGCTGCAGAAATACTTCAGAGGTGAGGAAGCTCTCATTGTAAACTCTAGTAAGATTCTTTGTTCATTAGATGTGTAAAGAGCTTGATGTTTGGGAGGAGCAGATATTCCTCACTGACTGGAGCAGTGAGGTGAGTTCTTAGCATGATCCAGGCCACTTTTTAGAATACATGAAAGAAAGACTTAGTCTGTGAATCTCAGTAAGTCATTGTCTGACTCTAAATTTTTCAGCTGGGAATAGTGTAAAAAATACAGCACTCTTAGTCCCCATATTTGTCCATAGCATCAGAGTGTCATCCATTTAACTGCTGATCACAGCACAGTTCAGAAGTGATGCTCAGTAGAGAGAAATCCTCCCTTCTGGAGACACAGATCTCTTAAAATGCACATTACGTGCAAAACAAATAGGTAGAACACTTCAGTGGATTCCAGAGAGTTAACTAAAATTTTCTATTCTGTAATATCTACTTGAACCAGAGCAGTCCCTGAAGGGCTCTGTTCTGCTGTGCTGTCACCCTGATAGCACATTTAAAAGCTGCTAGGTCAATGAATAAAGGCTGGGCATGCTTGTTGGTGCTTCTTACAAACTGGAAAAAAATAGCCTGGGGACAGGTGGAACCATAAAAAGTTAAATGCTTCAGTGCTGCACATTCACTGTGTCGTTTTCCATATTTAAGCCTCCATCTGTGTAACATACACATCTGTGTAACGTCCAAGAAACTATAATGCTGCCCTCTCTTGTAGGATGGATTTATGCAAAGCATCTCATTGTAATTTTTAGGTGTAGTGTAGAGCTAAAAGTACTGTGTGGATGGGGAGCACAAGAAACAGATTTTACTGACATACCTCCATCTAGATCCCCAATTTAAAATATCTTTAATTCAAAAAGAGGAGGTCATCCCAATCCCCTTCTTTTTCCTGGGCTCTTTTGCTCTTCTCAGCCAGTAGCAGCTGTTCCTGCTTGACTGGGTTGCAAAGGACCAAGTGGTCCAACAGACCCATTCAGCTGCTGAGTCCCACATGACAGATGTATTTCAGCAGCTTCATTTGAGGCAAACGCAGTGTCCGATTATCCCTTGCTGTTCTCTAGGTATGAATCCAGCCTTTCTGAAGCACAGAGGATGGACCTTGATTTCTCAAAACCACTTTTTTTAACAGCTTCACTATTCACTGCATGCAGGTGAGTGTAGCTGGGGGATCTTCTGCAGGCTGAAATGCCTGGTGACACACTCAACAATCTAAGCAGCTGCTTCGTCTAGGGTCCTGCTTAGCATATGCTGCTACCCTGCTCCTGAAAATAGGGACAGCTGTAGCAAACCAGGTCTTTCTTTGCAGTGAAGTCTCCAACCTACATTACACAAAGCAGAAATGATATGGATTTTGGTGAAATACTGCTCAAGGGGTAAGAACGGTTGCCAGCTCACTTCTGAGCACCGAGAAACAGCTGTTCTGGAGAAGGAAAAGCCCTGAGCCTTTCAGCACCATCACATCCTGAAGGTGCTCTGGCCTTTGGAGATGGCTCTCAGAGCTGTAGGCCCGGATCAGGAAGAGCTGTGTGACTCAGCCAACACTTGGCAAGAATTTGCTTGCGTGCAAAGATCTTCCTCAGCATTACACCTTGTAACAATCTTAGCAGTGCAGGGACTGTGTAGTTGCACAGCTCCTGAAAAAGGTTTTTTTGACACAGGGGTCTCATTCAGCTTTTTGCAGTAGTGGGACTTTGCCCTGGTTCCCTGAAAATCTGAAAAATATTTTTTCCTAATACAATTCCCTTATTGTAGTGGTTTGAACCATGACACTTATGTAACTTGAACTCACCCTGAGTTTCAATTCCTGAGCTGTATTGACTGAGTACTGTAGGGGTCTGTTTTTTTAAGCAAATTTCTGAGTGAGATAAGGATAGGTAGGACAAAAACACAGGCCTGCCTTTCTCATTCTCACAGGCAGTGTTGGTACAGCAATTATCACCTCACAAGTGATAGTTGTTGGAGTGTTGCTTTCTACAGAGGTAACAACTCTCTCTTGTAGGTGTTTGAAGCTAAAAGTGGACAAAACTAAAATGGTGGCTACATCTGGAGTGAAAAGAGCAATATTTGACCGGCTGTGCAATCAGCTGGAGAAGATAAGCCAGCACCTCAGAAGTAAGTCTTTGCCTTTATCCCTGTAAGACAGCACACCCATCCCATGGCCTCACAGTTCCCCATCCTTTTCCACTGATGATTTCATCCTGATCACTTCTTGCTGTCCCATTTCAGCCACATCTGCCCAATCCATTTCATCATGTTTCCTGCAGCCCAGTTCCCAGTCACAGTCATTGTTTCTGGGGAAGTCACAATAGCTTAGCATGTGGAAAGGCCAAAAATAAGTATTTTCCTCTCTTCTCTGCTCCTTACAGTGTCTACTGCTGCAGTTTCTTCCCTGCTTCTCCCATACTACCTGACCCATCTTGGATTCCTCCTTCTTGCTTTCTGCATCCCGTTAACATGGCAACATGACACATATTAACACAAACATCATGCTCTGACTGACTCACTTCTGTGCTTTCCTTTCCCCACTGCAGCATTAACAAGCATAAGCCTTCTCTTCTGGTAATAACTCAGCCATTCCATGACACCATCTCTCCACATACAGTGAACAGACCTGAGGAACCATTCTTACCTGTGGTTAAGCCTGCACTTCTCTCCACTCCTTTTTTTTGGAGGAAAAAGACTGAAATATGTTTCACACCCTCCTGTCCTTATATCTGCTGCTGCTTACTTCTTTTTTCCTTTCCCAGGCTTTCGTTCTGACTTTCCCACTGAGAGTAACCCTTCTTCACCCTGTCTTCATGCTTCATATCCTGAAGTTTTGTGGAACATGCTGCCTGAACCTAAACCAAAAGCTGCTGCTCTCTCCTAGGCATGGACCTTCCCACAGTACAGTGCCCTATAAAACCCAAACCTTACCCCACCACTAAAGCAGCTAAAGGCAGCTGGGAGTTTCTGTACCAGTGCAGGGAAGATCATGTATCTGTACACATGGACAGCCCTGTGCATGTTGTGGGTATCTATAATACAAACTGTGGAAATGGAATAGAAGGGAAAAAAATAACTGATAATCCCGCCAGAGTAATCTAGAAGGGTAGATTTTGGGCAGTGAACATGGTGGATCATTGTGGATACAAATGCAGCAGCAGTTTGCTGCTGATTAGCAACCTGCTAATTAAAGCATTAAGTCAGTCCATGCAACCCTTCAAGTGTGCTGGCACCTCTGCATGTAGAGCCTGAGCATCAGTCTGGACCTGCTCTGACTGGGTGACATTACTTTTGGAAGGTGGCACTGCTATCTAGGAATTACATGTAGGCCACTCGTGGGGCCCCAAACACCACTCAGGAGTAAAGCAATTTACTTATTTTTTTAGAAGAAGATGTTCCACTGGCTGCAGAGACACCTGAAAGCCTGCAGACCTGCCTGGAGCACTGTGAGCAGGAAGATGGTAAGTTGTGCTCAGCTAGGAATGAAAATCACCTCACCAGAGTATTCCTGAGCTTTATTGCTGGTCAGTATTTTAGCTGTGGGATAGGCCATAATCTCAGGTTCACAGCAGCTCACTCCATCCTGCATCCATTGGCTATGGAAGGATGGAGAGAACCTGGCAGAAGGATAATGGAGTTTATACTGAGTAGTCCTAGTAGAATTAAGGGTAACTGTTCTGTTCAGACACAAAGGTGAAGAGGAGACTGTTCCAGCAGGTGAGAGGAGCAGCAAACCGTGGGATTAGATAACACAGGGACAGACTCCCTGCCTGTGTCTGTGCATGTGCTCACTGCCACAGTTATTCCCACCAACACGTGGCCCATGATGGCCTGTCATGGACTTTCTTGTTCCCTCCCAGGATCTGAAGATGATGAGGAGAAGCCACGTAAACGGCCAAAGACTGAAACAAAGCAGGACTATGAAGAATGGAAAAAGAAAATCCTGGAAAATGCTGCTAAGGCACAAGAGACAAATAGTACTGCCTCTGTAATGCCACCCAGTAATGCAACTGCTGCTTGCCCTTAATCTTAACTCTCCCTTGTGCTCTAACAGTAGTTCCAGTAGCATGAGTGATGGCTGCCTGGTAGCCAGCTACCTTATTTAGCTTTTAAGTATTGAAGAATGTTACTTTTAATAAAATGACACCAGGATTGAGGTGATTTTACAGGAAGCCTGTCTTGACTACTCACCTGGCTGGTACCTGAGCAGCTTTGGCATTAAGGGGGTAAAATAGCTTCATTCTCTTGCTGCAAGAAACGGGGAACATTCTAATGCTACGTTCTAATGCTACTTTAAGTGTAAATAAGTGACAACTTACAGGCCCTTGAGCCCCTGGCTGGAAGCAGTCAGTGAAATAAGAGGGAGGGGACTAATTGTGCCTTGTTAAACTGCAAAGCCAGCAGAGAAGTTAAGATTTTTTTTTTAAATTGCTTTTATTTTTTTACTATTGAAGAAATACTGTTTAGTAACTGAATTTGACTTATTTTCATGTGTATAAGAATGAAGTCTCTTGTCCTTTTTTAAAGGAGTCCCAAATATTGCAAGAAACAATAAAAGTACTGGAAGGAAAAGCTTTGTATTATGACATCATGTTCTTGGCACATGACTTAGAACACAAAGTAAAAGACTCACAAGGGGTGCCTGTGTTTTTAGAGGGAAGATATCCAGGGGACAAGGATCTTGACTGGGTAACAGGGGTTTTTTTGTGTCTTACAGTCATAAACTTAGAGAAGAGGAGAAAGTAGTTTGTGGAGGCAACATCTGTGATGCTACACTGTCATCCCAGCTACTCAAACTTTAATTTGCTATAACTACTTTTTGAGGAAGAATCATTACTTTGAGCAGTGCAGGCCTGATGTAACTGTAACAAAACCAAAGCAAGTCTTCGTTCCGTTTCTGTTGCACGTTTTCTGGCTGGGATGTACAAAAAGAAGTTAACTTTCATAAACACTCATTTCAGAAGAAACCCAAAAGCCCCAAGTGTCCATTGAAGCCAGATAAATTATCTTAAGTCTGAGCATTTAGATTTGAAACACTGCACCCACCTGAGCTTCTTAAAAGTATTTTAATGCCCTGCCAAATGTCTCCCTGCTGTGCACACTCCCTGCTCACATGAGACAGGATCACACCAGGATTACAGAATAGTTGGTATCATTAATTAGATATCAGTGAGGCCAGGTTTTTTTTGTCATGTACTGTTCAGTGACTCACAGGTCACCTGTGGTTCATCCCTTAAGCTTTCTGTAGATCCCAAAGCAAAATGCACAGGACGTGGTGAAAACATCCCCTCAGGCTGCAGAGGTGGGTCCCACTGTACTGCAGAACCAGGGGATGGCTGCCCAATCTAAAGGGATTCCTTTATGTTAGAAACAGAATAGTCATCCTGCTGGCCAGAGGCACCTTCTCTTTGTAGAAAACAAGAGAGGAAATACATACAAGACAGCAGAGAGCATCTCTGTGTTACCTTCTTAGAAGCAGCACATACTAATTGGAAAATTTAAACTTCCTGGCCACTTTCACTTCTCCCAGTGCATTAAAAAAATGAGATTGCTTGAAGCCAACTTTAATTAGCAAGAGCTAACTTCATTCCAGCTGACATTAGGGAATGGACTCAAATTCTTGACGTGCAGAGAAAATAAAGGATAATTACCCACAAAGAGTAAGAGCTATGACAAAATGTCTGACATGAGGAGATAATCCCATCCATTAGCATTCCATTTTTAAAACCTACAAAGAGATACTTTCAGGTTGGTTTGGCAGTGGGGTTTAAACCAAAACTGATGAATATAGGCTTGTTCCACTTTCATGAAATTTATTAGTATTAATTCAGAAATATACAGACCAATGAATATAATCACATTTAATATGCAGAACTGCTGTGGAAGGAAAATATGAACAAAAGTGGACCTTCATAGAAGGTGATAAATTATCAAGATTGTCTGATTTGGGTTTAATAATTCTTCTTTGTCCCAGTTCTGGAAATGCTGCAGAAGTCGAGACTGTACAAAGTGAGAAGCAGCTGAGTGGAAAAGATAACTAAACTGGGATAAGCCAGTCTTACAGACCTCTTCATTAGGAACAAACACTACTTCTGCTAATTCAAAGGATGTGAAATTCCATAAAGTTCAAGGAAGCTTTACAGATGCCTTTGCTGGGATGATAGTTTTAATGGTATTAGTTTCCATTTCTCCTAAGAACCCATCCAGCTCACGCTGAGTTTTGCAGAATCTACAACAGGAAACCACAGGTTTAATAAATAATTTTATACTTCTATCTGAGAGATTTTAAGTGGTTCCCACTCTATACATCAGAAAAAAAAAGTTTAAAATCCAAAATAAGTTAGTACCGTGAAGAAAACATTTAATGTTCAAGAGCAAAGTGGGGAGAAAAAAAGGGCTTCAACCTCCTAACTGGACTAAAGGCAGAGTCTGACAACACATCCCTGTCACTGAACCTATTAGAAATAAAACCTATTTTGCATGTCACACCATATCAGCTTCTCAGGCTTCATTAAAATTTTCAGAGAGGAGAAAAAATCCTCAAACTAAAACTTGAAAACTTAAGGGCTGCAGTCACAGCCAATAAGAAGCACTTAAAAGTTTTAAAGATATACAAAACTGTATCTGGAAATCTCTTGCACAGACCCAGTGGTCATTACATGATTTGTATTTGTGGCAGTTTCACGTATGTCCTTCCAGAAGTTCAATCAGTTCAGCTCAATTCCACTTGCCATAAGAAACAGCATCATGGACCAACTTAAATTGCTTCAAACCAGGATTCCTCATAGTTCCTAACTATGCAGTGATTATTTTTCTAAAGGAGAGAGTAGATTAAAAAAACCAAAAAACAGCAACAAACCAACAAACCAAAACCACTCAAACCTATCATGTTGGGAGGGGAAAATAAAATCTTTCTGAAAGAAATGCAGAAGAAAAGGGTATCAGTTATCTTTTGTTCTAAGTAACAAACACCTGACAGAGAAGTTGTGCCACTGTTGTAGCAATTCTCTAAAAATAACATCCATCACTCAGTAAGAAAGTCTTCAGAGATCCCATGCTTGGTGTGAGAAACCAGAAAACTGACCAGGGGTTTTGTGGTGTAAACACCACTCTGCAGAATCAAAGCCTTCAGCAAGAAGTCAGCCCCAGTGACAGCCACGTTTTTCCACCACTACTTACAACAACTCAAAACTTGAAAAAAACAAACAAAGTAGCTTCTGCTTTTAGAAATCATTATTTCAGTGCCTCTTCCTTGGAGCACTTCTGGCACCTTAGCACTAACACACAAAATAATTGAGGAGGACAGTCCCAAAACCGTATGTTATAAAACAGGGGTAGAAATTATTGAAGATACTGAGTCCTTCTTTCATGGCTTCGTGACCATCTCCAAGAGTGGTGGATGCTTCACACAACCTTATGCAAGCTTGACAGACATACTCTGAAGTCTCTTCAGCCTGTTAGCAGCAGCCACCACATAAAAATGTTTCTGTGAACAGAACAGAACAGTCCAAGTGTGAGTGCAAGGACCTTCTCTGCAGCTGACATGGATTTTTCTCCCTGGTAAATTCATTTCCCTCTAGTGACCCACACACCCCTTGTGTGTTTTGCAGTGCTGAACCACTGGTTCTGCTGGTACTGTGAAGGTCTGCAGTGTTATTATGAATTGTACAGTGAAAGGTCTTTAGGTTATGTATTTTTTAAAATGCAAGTGCAGAAGTTTGTCACCAAACAGCTGAAGTGTGGGAGTGGAAAAAGTGTAATCCTCTGGTTTAACTCCTTGGCAAGGAATCGCAACTCCCCAGTGACAAAAAAGAGAAGGAAATGGTCCTCACTGAGCTTGCCTCCCATTTCCACAGGCTTCTTTCTAACAAGATCACTGTGTTCATCTTTCAATTAAATAATAGATGAATCAAATAATTAAATAAGATAATAAAGAAATAAATAATCAAAACCAAATAAATAAACAAATAAATAAAGTCATTCGATCAATTATCTACAATCTAATAGAGATTCCAACACAGATTATTACCTATCACTTCTTCATAAAAATGTAGTTCAGAAAGAGCTTGGGGTTATCAGAAAGCTTCGGAAGAATTCTCTGGATGGGTTTAAGCCTAATTTTTTTTTCTCTCTCCCACACTTCTAGTCTGGAAGGCACAAAGTGCCTTATATTGTAACTCTACTCAATACTGACAACAGATGAATGCAACTACTGTCAGTGGAAAAAGTATAACGAGAAAGAACATTTAATATAAGCTAAGTAGCACCTGAGGCCTCTGAACCTGCAGGAAAAAAAAAGTAAAACTCCTGAACACCAATCAGACCAATAGTGAAAATTGAAACCAAACGTGCTAAAAATAGAAGCAATACCCTTCTGCAGGATGAAATACTTAATTTACAAATGAAAATAAAATACACTTCTCAACTCATATTTACAGTAAAGAAGCCTGTGGGCACAAGTGAGCTGACACACAAAAGGAGGGAATGGCTCTGCCCGTGCTGGGCTGATCTTCCCTCTGGAAGTAGATTTGCCAGACTTTGTCTCCTCACCTTCCATTTCCTCTGAGCCATGTAACTCTGCAGCAACAACTGGGACTTGAGGCGCAGCTTGGACTTCTTGGCCTTGGCAGGAAGGTCGTTCAGCCACTCGTGTTTCAGACACTGAGTTGCACTCATCCGGCAGCTGAGGGGAGGAAACCTGCCATGTCAGTCCAGCCACCCTTGCTGCCCTTTTCTCAGTGCCCTTGACAAAGAAACTGCCTCAAATGAATGAACACCAGTGAAAATGCTTCCTGAGCTGATGTGAACCCCAGTGTATGGGATCCCAACGACATCCTGCCCTCTCCAGCCTGAGGGGTGAGCGGGGTGAAGAGCTGCTGGTGGGTCTGCAGTGGGTTGGCTGAGCTGTGGTTAAGTTCAGCAGTGTATTTATCATTTTATTATGCAAATGCAGAACTTTGCTAACAGAAGAATAACATCTGTGGTGTTATCTCTCTGTCCTGATAGGCTTATTCTGTGCCTCATATTTAAAAAGCACAATTGTCTCTTCACCCTAAACTTAGATCAAGCTGAGCACACGTTATATCCTGATACTCAACAATGGGCCCAAATGTCCTGGCCTGTCCTAAAAGCTTTGGGAAATATATGGTAATAGAGGAAACCTTGAGGTAGAGGTGTTGAGAAAAAACTTTAATTTGCCTTTTTGAAAACAAAAGCCTATGCCTAACTCCTGAGCTTTGCCTGAGCTGTCACTGAGAACATGAATTCCGATGACTCCTGCCTGCTCAGCCCTGATTTCAGCAGTCAGGGGAGGGAAGTAAAGGTCTTGCACAAGGCCAGGCCCACTGTCCCAGCATGGTAAAGCTGCCTGGTCTGCAGGAGAGCTGGGCTACCACACATCTTGTGAACAACTGGGCCAGCTAGTTGTTGGTCTTTGCAACTCACTGACGACACTCTTAGTCCTTTCATTCACAGCTTCTAACCAGACTTTGCAGAGTGTCCCTCTGGAACTCCAATTCCCATTGCACAGAAAATTTGAAGACTCCAAAGCTAAGTTTAAAGTCTCATAGCAAATCATCATCACAGCCTGAGAAAAACTCATCTGTTCTCTCCTGCTGGCAACATGGAAAACTTCAGTTTCTTCTTTGCTTTTCATAGGACTTATTATTCAAAATGCAATTCGTACTAGAACTGATTTGTCTGATTTAGGTAATGATCTGGAAGTTGTTGATATTCTAAGCACTCCTTTGAATTCCCCTCAAACACACAATCTGTTTTACTGTATGCATAATTTCCTGCTTTGATTAGTTTGATATCACTACTTGGCAAGAGAAAAATTTCTCTACTCAACCAACCCCACAGTCATGATCTGACATCAACATCATCCTCATTTCTCCTGTTGTTTCACATGTGCATTTTATCTCAGTGGAGCCAAGACTAAGAAACCACATGCAGAGTTAAGTGTCAAGCGCTCCTTAATAATTCCCAAATGTCTGTAGACCACTTTAGAAGAGAACAATGCACATTTTCACAGCTGCAGCTTCCATTTATCCTCTATGGCATTCAAGAGGCATTTTTGCAATTTGTGTCAGGGCTTGTGAGAATCCAGAGGAACAATAGAAATAGTTTTTGCTCAGAGAAGCAAAAGCTTCAGAGACAGATTCCTGCACTGCAAATCCTTCCAGATTTCCTGTGTTCTCTTTCTCTAATGTGAAAAACAATTTTCCTCAGTAGGGTACGCAGACACTTTCCTTTTAAATAGGGGCTTCTGAATCACTGAGGAACTGCCCAGTAAGCCCAGATACAGCATACAAAAATGTCACATAGTAAGTTCTCATTGTTGGCTGCAATCTGAACAATTGGCTGATAGGAACTTAAAATCCTTAGGTGCTACTACTATCCACATGATCAGACACAGAGGTACCTTTTCTCCTTCACGAGTAGTCTGGAAATAAAGTCTTTAGCTTCCTCTGAGAGCTGTTCAAATGCTTCTGCATCAAAATCCCAGCTGCAGTTGAGCACATAATTCATTGTCTCTGCATCAGTTTCTCCCAGGAACGGGGACAGGCCACTAAGCCTTAAAAAAAACAAAGAAGGGGAGGAGTTATCATATGCAAGATATGTTTTTCCTTCTATGAATACTCTGCTTTATAATTGTTGTTAGCTCATGGAGAGGAAAGGCTCTCAGCTATGGAGGGTTCCACTTCTCAGACCCCGCCAAGATAAGCCAACATTTTGGGACAATAATGTGTTGTAATTTTAGTGTCACTCTCTAGCAGTTCACTCGGCTCATCAGGGAGCGCTGTTCCTAGATCCCCAAGGAAATGGATTCCATGGGGATCTACGAACATCCTTCGGTGCTTTCCCAGCTAGGAAAGCTAGGGGGACTCAAGAGCTTTCCCAAATCAAGGCCCATATCCATATGTGGCTTGAATTAAACAGAATTCTGAACAATAGATTACTTTATTCCATTAGTCTCTAAGCCCAGATTTATTGCTTCCATCATTTCTTACTTCATTCAGTTGGGTTTTGGCTAACATACAAACTTACACCAGAAATGTATCCAGTCCACAGAAAACACTTGTGAAAGATTCTGGGTTGAAAAGCAAGCTCATCAGAAGGCAGAGACTTTGGACAGACAGGCTGTCCATGGCTGCCATCCAGGTATCAGAGAAAAGTTTTAGCCCTATTCATGACAAGACACTTTTCAGACTCATGGCCTAAAACCATTATATTAATTCTCCTGTGCAGATGCACACCAAGTCTAAGCTAATAAAATGCTCAGATTGCAAATTTGAAAATTAATTCAAGTCCTAAAAAACACAGTCAAAATGGAAATTCTCACGAGTTTTGGGCAGCTTTTCCAAGTGAAAAAAGACCTGACCCATTTTAAGATGGTGAGGGAGAAGAACATTTACATATCAGTCAAAAGGATTATTTGTTGTTTAGAGACTTCGCACACACAGTGAAGTGCCTTTGTGTTAAAAGCTGGTTTAACAGAATTAATCAGGAGGAATCACAGCCAGAGGGGCTCAGTGGCTGCTCATTCGTGCCCTGCAGACCCCTCATCACCGCGACCCCTCGCAGGGTTACTCACAACATGTATGTGATGACCCCCACACTCCACATGTCCGTTGGGAAGGAAACAAAGTCATAGTTCACCACTTCAGGGGCCAAGAACTCTGGAGTCCCGAAATTAACCTTCAGTTTCTCACAGGGTTTGTACCTTTACCAGAAGAAAAAGACGTCAGTGCCGAGCATGGGCTGGGGACACATCTCACAGAGGGAAAAACAAGGCAGGGCTTTTTGTGTGAACAGGGCTGAGGGAGCAGAGCTGACTCCCAGGCCATCGGGGCAGCACTGAGGTGACCTCAGGTGAATATACCATCACCCATCCCAATGCCAGGGCAAAACCAGGAGGAAGACCGAGGACACTAAAGCCTGCAAAGGCCTCCCCCACAGTGTGGTAGCAGCTTTACTCTCTGCCAAGCACCACAGGATGCTTTCCAGCAGATGTTGTCCAACATAAAACAAATAAAGTAGCTTTGGTTACAAAAGGTTTGGAGAGTATTTGCTTAGTGGGATGGACCCAGTTACAGCTCAGGGTAAAGGTCTGTATCACATCTGTATCACAGATATGAACACAGTATAACTAAGGTGGGACTCTGAAGAGGGTTGTTTGGGCTTGTAACAAGTTAAACAGTGATATCACACAGGGGGTAAATTATTAAGTTCTATTGCTTAAAATGGAAAGGTTACTGAACCAGTAACCTTTTTTCAACGAAGGTTAAAAAAAGGTTACTGAACCAATAACATTTTAAACCAGAATTGTTACCGAACCAGTAGCAGCTGTCACTGATGGCAGCTGGAGTTAGATCTATGTACAGACAGAATGAACCACTAAAGCATTGCTTTTAAATCTCTGTTTCCTGGAGGATCTTGTTTTCAAAACTGCTTTAGTAGCAGTTTGTATCTTTACCCTCCCAATTTAAAACAAACAAACAAACAAACAAACTCAATGTGTACATTTCTTTTCCTTCAGAAGTGTTTTATGGAAACAAAGTCCTCGAACAGATAATACATAGACACACATAAGTATATATATGCATGAATGTACCAGCTTTTGGTTTAAGAAAATCCTCAAGGCGGTTAGAAGATAAATAGATGAATGTTATTGTTCTTACTGGTATACTAATGGAAATAATTCCTTTGTACTCCAGGGCAATTGACTCATGCTCTCACAGCTTTCCTTTAACAGGCTCATTCATGCAAAGCAAAAGAATGGAGAAAAGTCCATATTTCTCCGAGGGTTCCCTGTTTCACATGGGATGGCTCAAACATAATTTTTTTTCCCCCACTTTTTTCCTTCAATCAACTTACTCAGCTATGTAAAGAGTTTAGCAGATAATTTCTACAACTAGAACCTGCACAATGAAACCCAGCAGTCAAGAAGTCTCCGAGAGCCTTCATGGAGTCCCTAGAGTAAAAGCTCTACGTGGGGAATAATTTTGAGATAATTAGAACAGCAGTATAGCTTTATCCAACTGAAATGTAATTTGAAAAAGTAATTAGATAATTAATGCACACAGCAGAAAACTCATGCCTGCAGAGGCATAATGCTTAGCTCATTCAGAATTATTTTAGAGCCACCAAAACACAACTCCTCAAAAGAACTACCAAAACCATGTCAGATGTTTGTGAATTTGATTTGGGTTTGGTTTTTAAAATAAATTCACAATTGAACTCTCTTACCTCCTTGCTAATCCGAAGTCAATAATTTTAATCTGGTTTCCTGTGTGATTTACACACAGTATGTTTTCAGGCTACAAAAAGAAGAGAGGATATTTTAAGCAAAAAGCTTGAGAGAGAGATCTAGTAAAAGAGCATGTAAAAGGTAATTTCTAGGATAGTACTTTTCCTTCTATTCCTATCACAAGAGAAGCGCTTGACAGGTACACTCAGTTAGTGAAAGGTTTGGGTTTGGACCTCTGATAAAGAAGCTTTATTGTATAATAACATTCCTGTATTTTGCCAGAGATGACAAACAGATTTTGGAATAGAAAGGCTCTCTGTGTAAAATGGTAAAGTCAGTCTGATGCTTGAGGCTCACCCACTGGATTTACTCCTTAACTATAAAAGTACCTCCACAAAAAGCCACAAGCAACAGGTCAAATGCACCCAAAAAGAATTTTTCTTCCAATGCGAATATTTTTCAAGGTGGGGGTTGGGTGGGGGGTGATGGGGTCCAAACTTGTTACAACTGTAGAACTGTCAGACGGCCAATCAGGTCTAATATCACTTGTGTAAGGCTTGTGTATAAACAAGCAGGGAAAAAAAAACCAAACAGTTGCTATTTCTGTTTAAAAATATCAGTTATTAAGGGACCATTAGGAAAACATTGTCATTTTGCTGCAGGTTGGTTGCTGGTAGTGAAAAGTACAAACTATAGGAAGATGATTGAATAGGTGAATAGATGATTGATTTAAACACAGTTGCAAAGGGGTGGGGGAAATGGAGGGAAGACTGTAGGCATTTTCAGCCTAAGAGGGTTTGGGTGGTGTTTTTTTAATTGATGACAAAAGGGCATTGTTTAAATACTGCACAGAATAAAAAGCTGCTGATTTAAGAGAGGCAAAAGCACAGAATCCTGATCATTTCACTATTCCAGGCACACTACTGAATAGACACTGGAAAAAAGTGATGAATCTCTTGAGCTCCGTTCATTGTTTTTATTGCATTAAATCTGTTCCTTTCTGACATGTCCATGAAATGAGCAGTGACTCTGTAATCAGAGACTCTGTGGTGGCCCAAACAGCATCACCAAAGCACAGAGAGCACCAACAACTGACCTTCAGGTCTAAATGGAGAATATAATGCTGGTGCAAGTAGTGCACTCCTTCACAGATCTGTTTGGTGAACAGGATGGCATCCAACTCAGTCAGGTGGTAGTTTTCATCTGTGATCCGGTCAAATAATTCGCCACCATCGAGACTAAAATTTTGACACAGAAAATTGTTAAAAACCCCTAAAATTCTGCATTAGCTCGATTAATTTCCAAGTTGGTAATTAGGCTCTGTAATTAAGCAAGGGTCCTAACAACAAATTCCATATAAAGTATATCAGTAGCCTCAATGACTTCAAGAGACTTATTTCTCTGTATGAAATTAAGTACCAATCTAAATGCAAATATGGAAAAGTTGTCACTAACTTTTGGGGGGGATACATGTCAAACCCAAACCCACATGACCTGGGGATCAGATGGGGACCTGAAGAACCTACAGGAAGCACCAAAGTATCTATTATTCATTCATCTTAGTCTAGAGAAAATAAGTCTTCAACCTGTAAAATTTACTAAATGAAACATCTCAGACTGAAAAGTATTTTACATGAGCTGACAATTGAACTTCATCCTGCACAAAAGAGAAAATTAGTCAGACACAGAGCTCTGACAAGGTTCTGCAAGGTAAAAACTTCAAGTATATATTTCAATATATACATTTAAAATGTCTTATATTTATATTTTTATTTCATTTTTTTATTTTTTTTCCTTCATTGTTATTAAAAATTCATTCTGTAGCAGAAACTCAGTTTTTAGGTTATAAAACTTCAGGTTTTCTGTAAAGCAATATGCCACTACACAGAAAAAGGCAACAGGAATACATAAAGAAATCTTCCTTTTCCTATGTGAATCCCATATTTGACCTAGAGGAAAATTCTTATTTAGCTTCAAAGGGGGAGACACTTTTACTAACCCTAAAATTATTTAGAGGCAGACCATGTGTATAATTTATCACCTTTCTACCTCCTCCATATCTTTTGTAATTCTACTTAAAACATCTCACTTCTCTTGTCTGGGTTCCTCACCTTCACTCTCTTTCTGAGATTTTATTTATTCATGACGCTTCTATGTAATTTGGTATCTAGGGACAATGTTGGGGCCTGTAAGTTAAATGAAAAATGAACCATCAGGAAGTTCTGTTCATTAACCATTTTGTAATTTGGTTCATACTCTTCAAGACAGCTGTCTTTCTTACCACTTGTTTAAACTGCAATCTTGCCAAATATATGATTTTTAATCTGAAGAAATTCTGTTTAAAACATTTTTTTTCCTTCTGAGAGTGAGATCAAGTCTCTCTCAGACTGGAAAACCACTCCAGTCTTCTTCACACCTCAGAATTATCATCCCCTATTTCCTTCAGTGACCTGAGAAAACCCAAACATCTGACAACTGCTGAGATAATTTAAACTTACTATTCCATGATCAAAGTGACACTATTTTTGGCTTCAAAAGCATCATAAAGCTGGATCAGATTCACGTGATTCAACTGGTTCATGATGTTAATTTCATTTTTTACTTCCTCCTGGAAAAAAACAACAAAGCCACAAAAAAATGAGCAAAATACCCTCCTTAAATTTCAACATATTGAAACAGAATTATTTGTAAAACCCATTAACAGCTATACCACAGGTCTCAGGTGGACAGAAGGTTTAATCACAAACATAGGGGATGATGAACAGTCATAGAAAGTCCAGGCTGGTCCTTAGTAAGACAGACTTTAGAGTGTTTGATAGCACCCAACAAGCTGCCCCTCGTGTGCTGATTGAGGGAAGTGGAGCTGAGGTGCTGGCAGTGAGGGCAGGTTCAGAGTCGGGCTCACAGCAGCATGGTTACCTTCTCTTTGGCTCCTTTCACTTTGATGATTTTGGCTGCCAGGTTGAGACCAGTCGATATTTCCGTGCACTTGTGGACTTGCCCAAAACGCCCCCTGTGGATGCCAAGGAAAAGACGGGAAACCAGCTCAGCACAGCCCAGCACAGAAACCTCTCCTACGGCTATTCTTATCGTGAGGCAAAAATAGCCCAGTACAAAAGGGAACGGAATCGGGTGGCCAGCAGCACAGAGCTCCTCTTTCTCTCAGCTTAGGAAGGATTAGTTTTATCTTTCCAGCCAGTTGTTCAGTGCTTACATTAAAATATTATGCCCCCCTCGCATCGCCGCGTTTGCTGTGGCACGATGACCCGACGATGTTCTTGTTCAGCCCTGTAACTGTACCTGCCTGCTGTCCTTCACTGGTGTGGCTGTGGGTATATTAACAAGGATATTTCTGTCCTGATCTCATAACTTTTTAAATGACCAGAGGACCAGTAACCGTAGCCACTCCGCAGACTGCATTTCTTGCATGTTGTAAATTCTCCCCCATGTCACGCAGATACGTTAATGCCCCCTGGAATGATTTCTAAACACCATCTTCTCTGCTATTGCATCATATTGCTTATACTTATTATAAGTATAAGCCATTATAAGCCATATTTGTAAGTGGATCAATGTGTAAATCAAGCCTTCTTGTCACATAAGTAAGGATACAAGAATACAAAAGCTGAAGCAGCTGCAGACTTCCTATGAGTGAAAACTAAACATGAGGTCAAAATAATAATAACTTCTTCCTTTGCTTTCTTTAATGTGCAGTTCAGCACAGAAAAAAAAAAAGATTTTTGGAAGCTGCCTGACCTAATTCTAATGGGTTTTTTTGACTTCAAATGTTCTGAATCTGCCTGCCTTAAGGGTACAGGTTTTTCCCACGACACCAGCTGAGGCCAGGATCATTACAACAAATGAAAAAACCAGTCATCCAAGATGACAGTCAGGTATCTTAAAATGGAGCTGGGACAGAAACCAAGGGAAACCCCTTGATTTAACAGCGTCTGTGAAAGCCCAAAGGTCTCCAGGAAGAACCTGCTCACTCTGGCAGCTGTGAGCTTGTATGTGCCTCACACACACCCACATTCTGGGGCCATCTGAAGAAGCCAGCTCTAGCTCTCCAGCTCACTAATTTTCTCCAAGAGCAGTACAGCATCAGGTACAGGGATACTCACCCCCCCAGCACCTCATGCCGACACACTGAGTAGCTCGTTGTCACCTCCGTTTGCTTGACACTCACAATGCGATGTTCGAAAGGCGCTGGAGGAGAAGGACTGTCATCTAAAGAGGAGACAAGCTGGTCACTGAGGTGTTTCTGCACACACCACTGCACTGTTTCACCTCCCTCACACCAGTGACTTCAACCTTCAATGCACATCACCCTGCTGTGCCTGCTAAGCGTAATGTCAAGTCCCAGCTGCCTTCTGTGCTTCCCGGTACCCACAGCTCCACAAAACCATATTCTGATGCTCTCCCACCTTTAGTACTGCTGTCCTGAAGAGATGATCCCAGTTTCTCCCACAGACACTGCTGATGCAGCCTCCAGTGCTGCTGTGGCTGTGGGGCTTTAAGGGAGAAACACTGGGGGCACACACCCAGACCAAGCAGTGTCTGACTGCTGACAACAGGCTGCGAATGAAAACACTCAACCCAAAACTTTACAGTGAAGTGCACTGCCCTCCCTCCCATCTCTTCCCTTTGTTCATGTTCCCATGCCATCATTTTTTAATCTACTGGAATTCAGACAAGCACTGAAGTATCTGGATAACATTAAGAATGCAATTCTTTCACTCTTTTTAGCATGCAAGGAAAAGAATCCCTGCGGTTGCAGCTAGCCCTGAGAAGGGGGGTGCTGAATATATCCGAAATCTCTCTGTTACTTCAAGAGAGGGACTTTCACTGCTAACACTCTTTTACAAATGAGGAATAAAGTCCCAGAACTGAGAACAGAACCTCACCTTCTGCATCTCAGCTTTGTTTTTTTAACACAGTAAACCCACTGAACACCTTTAGGGGACTAGTTTATGCATTACCAGAAAAGGCCTCCTGAAAAAACTACCTGGACATTTAAAAAAATTACAATTGATCATTTTTTAATTGTTATGGGCAGTTGGAAAGGCCAACACAAACACACAGCACTGATGAATGATGGCAGTTATTGGTAAAATCATGAAGTTCCTCCTAGCAGCAAGATTTTTGCAGACAATGTTCAAATTAAAGCTGAAAATATGATCATTAAAATTATTAAGTTTCATCAGTTTGTGGTAAGCTAAATCTGTTAACCATGATCACCTAATGTCCAAGTTTTTCTAGGGTAAAGCTTCATTAAAGCCATTTTTGGTGTCTTCCATTCAAGGCAATTTTACAGCTAATCTGCAGGTATCTTGGGTTGCAATTTAACATGTATTCAACTCATCTCCAGCCACTGCTCAGAATGCCAGATCCAGGTCAGGACATCTACCCCTGAAGGTTTTGTGCTGCCAGGAGTGAGCACTCCCTGAAACAATGCAACCAAGCATTGTAACATTCACACAGTAACCCAGAGGAGATCTGCGGCCAGTAACACAACACAGGCCATGGCAAGATACTCTTCCTGCAGTATTTTGCTGTGCTCTGAATCTCCAGCCCATAGCTGCTAAAGTATGGCTTGCATACTCTATCTTAAGGAATAAATGCTTTATCTAAAGAAAATGGATTTTTTTAAAGTTACTCATAGTTCTGATCACACATTCACTTCACCCTATTTTATTTTAAATGGCATTTTTTCCTCCCCAAAACACACTTTGAAAGGAAAATTACTATTAAAGGAATCTCTACAAATATTAATTGCTATTTACATAGTCAGAGACACCCACGGAAAATGCTCTCAAGTGTATTCACAGGTGTTCTACTGAGCACTGCTCCAGCTATTATTGTACATCCAACAGACAGGAATAGCACAAAGTCCTGCATGTACAGGTTCCAAGGGTAACTGTGAGCAACTCACCGATGATCACTTCACCCTGCGTGGGAAGAGCTCTGTCACCTTCCAGTGCCTCACTCTTCTCTGGTGCCACTCCTGGGCACTGATGAACATCATTTCCTCTTCCTCCTGAAGATGCAGACTCAGATTCTCTCCTCTCAGACTCGGTATCTTTTGGGGATTCTTCTGCTTTTACTGTTTCCTGATGGATTTTCACTTCTACCCTCCCATCGTTCACAGGCTCCTTTGCAGAGTTATTCCGTGAGGTTTTGGGCTCGCATTTTAATTCTGATTTCTCTTCAGCCTTTTTACCTGGTTTGGGCTTGCTCAGTAATGGCTGTTGCTTTCCTGTTTGAGGTTTAAGTTCATTTTGCTTATTGTCCCCTTTAACTTCTAGATTTGGCTCAGTGCTGATGTTTTGAGGACTCTGTTGAAGCTTTAATTTGTCAGGCAGCTGTTTGACTCCTTTCAAATCTGCTGGTGTAGAGGATGGGGGTTTTACTTTGGGACTTGTACCTCTGTGATCACTTACATTTCTTTCCTTGGCCATCTCAATCTTTTCTTTCATGTCAGTCATATGTACACTGATGGATATCCTGCAGAGCAAACAGTCAACATTTGATTCAGATGACTAACCCTACTTTTGGAGCTTTGAGGGGGAAGAAAAATCTATAAGTTTCCAAACCTGCAGATTTCTACACTATTAATAACACCTATCTGTACCAACCCCCTTAGGAAATACTGACCAACACTAAGGGAAGAGCACGAAAAAGCACTCTGATACTTTTTCTGTGTCCTCATCAGTGTACACGCCTCCCTTCTGCTGAACAAAATGTCTCATTCTGCTAAGGGTTAATCCCCCATCTGAAAGCTTACCCACTTTCTGCGATTATTACAGTTGGTCTAATAAAATACCACTCATCTGGGCAGAGAGGGGATAGTGATTGCCTTCACAAATTACAGGCTGATTATCTAAATGGCTGACTGCTCATATGGCTCTAGAAATCCAATGGTTTGCGTCCACCCCCAGTCCTCGTCCAGCTGGCTGACTTGCACACTCAGACATCTGTGTTTGTCTGATGGGAGAGCATCCTTTCCACAGCTTTCTCTTAAAAATCCAACTTTCATAAACTCTTTCACTCCATCAATACTATTTTCCTTGACATTCTAGCTACTGGAAAAGTTTAAAGATATTTTTTCCCCCTCTTGTGTTGCCTAAAAAGAATACAGGTTAGAGCCAATTCTCTGTGCTCCTAAAATCCATCAAAGACATTTGTGTGATAATGTTTGAGTCAACTGTTACTGCTCCAACTGTCATGAGCTGCCTGATTTTTGTGAGGCTGAACCAAAACTTGTGAAGCTGTAAAGTAGATTTTATACAATGGCAAGTAAAGAAAATTCCTGTTATCGAGGAGAGAACATACCTCATTTTCACAAAGGTTATTGCCTCTCTCAGTGCAGCAGCCTTATTACAGAAGATGTTATAAAAGAAAATGTTTCTGCTTCTATATTACAGAAGTCTGAAGTTTCTCATTTTCTGTATCTTTAACACTCTTTTGCTGTGCTATGAATCTCAGCTGCTCTGGTGTGAGCTATCAGAGCAGCTGAACACAGCTTGGAGCAAACACTTCCTCTGCTATCTAGGCAAGCCTGAACCCAGCAGGACTCTTGGCCATTTCTCCAAGCTGGGGAACACAATGTTCTTTTGACACTTCTGCGTGGGCTTTACGAACTTCATTAAAAGCTGCATCCATTTCAGAGAGGTGTTTACCACCCCCATGTGACCTCACACTCGAAAGCATTATGGGTGTCCCAGGCAGGAAGGCTGCAGCTTCCTCTGGGGTTTACTCTGGCTTCTGCCTTCGAGTTACCTCTTGGCCTCCCTCCTCCCCAAAACAAAGTCTTTGGGGCTCAGGCACCTCCCTGTCCAAAACCACCAGCTGCTGTTGGAGCTGGTGCCCATCTCCAAGTTCACCCCTGGCACATCATCATCAACCAGCACTGATTTCCAAGGGCTTACAGCAACAGTTCCTCTACAGCTTCACCAGCACCCTGAGCCACCTCCCAAGCACAGGAACAGCCTCCAAGGCAGCACCCCTGCAGGCAGCTGGGATGGACCCACTGCAGCTGTTGAGGCACAGTGCCTATGGCTCACCAGCCAGAGCCTAAAACCCACTGGGAGAGTACAGGGAGGTCCCTCTGCTGTCAGTGTTGCTGTAGCAACCAGTTTGGAGGTAACCATGTCTGTAGCTGTACACAAATGTTTGAGAAGAGGCCACAGCAGTGAAAGCTTCTACTTTCTCCTGCCAAATCCTCACGTTCACCCTCTAAGGAGAAAAATGTCCCAGTGTGCCAGTCATCACAATGACCCCTTTCCCTCGGGAAGCCCATGTGCTGACATCAGGACAACTTTCTTTCATTTTGGTAATTTATTCTTCATTCACTTTATTTGTTGACTTGTTTTGGGTTTTGTGGCTTTTTTTAGGAGTCCTGTAATCCCATTAGACACTCACTCATTGCACAGGATATAAGTGCCCAGCCTATATTCACAAATACCACTACAGAGTTTTCAAATTACACAGACACAAAAGTAGTGTCATGTTCTGTCTGGTCTTTGGGCACCAATTTGTACACACAAAACACTGGGAAATTCCCCATGCAAAGTAACATACATACATACATCTGTGTGTAGGGATATAAATATATATAAATTACTTTATAGACACCTGCCCAGACAGAGAAGGCACTGGTAGTCAAAATCTGACACAAAAGTTCCATTTGTTGGGGTTTAGTTGATAGGAGTCTTTGGTTGTGGGTTTTTGTTATTCTCTGTTGTGTGGGTTTTTTAAAATTTAAATAAATGACATTTAAATCAAGTCCTAAATAAATAATCCAAAGAAAAATGGATTATAAAAGACATATTACAAAACAACTATACAGAGAAAAGATTAACCTGATAGACATGAACAAACAAACAATCTTTAGGTGACCAAGACATTAAAAAACAAAACACAAAAACACTGAGGGCAACAAACACAAATTCTTTGGTTTTGTCATGTACTGGTAAATACCTCATATTCCTTTCACCCCCATGGTTAGAGAAACAAAAGAGTTGGGAAGGAGTCAGTGGTTTAAAATGAGCTCTCCTACGGTGGTCACCTTTCTATGTTTAATACATAGAGGCTGATGATCTAAAACCCCTCCCTCCCATCCGCAGCCCTCTGACTCCTTGGCTTCACACAACTTTACTCATGACCCTTGGAGTTTTTTGCCTTAACCACTCGTCAGGTCTCCCCACTCCCATCCCAGGATGCAGGAGCCGCCTCCTTTAATGACCTGGCTTTCCTTTTTTCCCTTCTAACACATGAAAGCCACCAGCAAGGCCATTACCTGGTATGTGTCACCTCATGCCCCGTGTCAGATATAGCCTGGGATGTGGAGGGCGCAGCTTCCCGGGATGCCACACTCGATGGTCGAGGTTTGTTTTCATTCTTCCCGAGTTTCTGATGCACAAGCTGCCTGTGGCACTCATCTGGGCATGGGGCTCTGTCCACATTCTGTGCTTTAGCAGGAACATTTTGGTTGCCTACGTGATCTTCATGTATGAAGGGAAGACCATTGTGTTGATTCAAAGCCTTGACACCAGTGTCCTTTTGTTGAAAGCTTTTACTGCTGTGTGTTTTGACAGCACCTTCTACCACTTGCTGCTGTGCTGTCCTCTCCTTAACTTGGGGTTTGGAGTCACCTTTGTGGGCTACAGCACCAGAAGTGTTCACCTTCTCACCTGCTCCCTTGTTTTCATCCAGCTTTTTCCCACTTTTTGTCTCTGAATAAAGTAATGAATTAATGATGTATCCTTGAAAAAATTAATGGTACAACAGAGCGGGGATAAAGCAACCCACCACTCAACATACACAGTTAAGTACAGCTGAAAAGATAGAAAGAAACTCCCCAAAAGGTTTAAAATCCTTACACCATCAAGGTCAGTTCACAACCCTGTGTAGCTTTTGAGTCAGAATTGGGACCATTTGCTTTATTTTTGTCACTTCCAAAATGATGAAGCCAAATAAGGGATTGCCCATAATGCAAAGGATTCACTGACCATTTGTGAAGACAACGGCATGACAGGGCCTGCTCAACATCACATTCACCCCTGTTGCAACTCCACAGGCATCAACAATGGATGCAACAGGGCAATGCCCTGACAGATACATCCTAAATAGGAATCCAGCCCTGACATGCCAATGAAACCGGCTGATCCAAAAAAGATATTCCCAGTGTCAACACATCCCTTTTTCAGAGAGGGGGAGGAGGGAGGGCTGGCTCAGATGTATTAAGGGAGAAGAATTTATCAGGTTTGCTGTGTGATATTGGCACTATCTTCACAGTACCTCCAAACAAACTCTGCTTGCTGAATTCAACCCACTGGAATCCAAATAAAAAAGAATCCCTGTGCACCTAAACAAAGTTGCTGCTTTTAGTTTGTTCATCTTCTAGCTTTTTGTGGGGTTTGATCCTGGGGACAAATCATCTTTGAAGGAAGTGAGCACAATCCTATTTTCCCAGCACAGGGGGGCAAAGTTACTCAGTTACATTTGAGTAATTCAGGTAGTGGGAAATAGCAGCCTATTAATTTCCAGTTTGTCTGCTGCACATTCTGGAGTCAAAGCCTGTAGCATGCCTGGAGTGATACATACCTTCCAGAGGCTTCTTGCTTTCAGTTTGGGTTCCTCTGTTACTAAGCACATGCTTAGGTTTTGCACCACTCTCCTCGGGCTTATCTTTGGCCTAAAAATGACAGGGGAACACAAAAACAACAGTTAAAGCCAAGAGTACCTAATTCTCACCAGGTTCCTCCAACCGTGTAGGCATTCTGACTCTGCAAATTGGACACTAACACCTCTTAACTTCTGAATTTTTAGTTACTGCTGTGTTTATTTCCTTCTTCCAATCTCTCCCTGCTTTTGCAGGCAGGCATACTTCTAAAACAAGATGACACAGATTAATACATTAGCTCATGGCTTTCCAAAATTTTCACTGTCATAGCTTTTGTCCCCTGTCATCTTTACTCATATTGATTAAAAAGTATGACATGTGCGACATGAGAGAGTAGAAAAAGAAATTATACTTTATTTCTCTTGCTTTTTCGCTGGTGGCAGAATGAAAAGTCATGTCTCTGAATATATTTGTCAAAACCTATTTGTCTCGAGGCATCTAAAAATTCATGATTTAATCTGATAGAGATGATACCAAAAAAGAGCCTCTAGCTTTATGGCAACTCTTGTGTATGTTCTTGACATTTCACATGTCACCTTTGGAATGATTAAAAACAGACTTATTGTCTTTTAGAAGCAGATTTTAATTTTTAAGGAAAGTTCTTCCCCCAATTAATTTGAAAGGAGGAATCTTTCGTAATAACACCACTGAAGACTTCACACAGCAATACATTAGTAGTAAAATTAAAACTAAATAATATTTAGCAAAAAGCATTGCACGAAATAGGAAAAGGCATAACATACCTTGTGGTTGGCATATAGTTAAAAATCTAGTGATGAGCAGCCTCCTATCCTTATTTCTACAAGCAAATGAGTAACATGTAAAATATTTCTGCAGATAACTGATTACAAGATAGCTGCACATCAGCCCTTCATCTGTTAGTAAAAGCAGTTAAGTATTCCATGCACCAACCCTATAGATTGCACAGAGCCTCCCCACCTCCCCCTTCCCAGAAAACAAAACACCCAAAGAGTAAAAGTAGTAAAAAATCATTACCATTTTTATTACAGCTCTAAGCAAACCTGCAACAATGACCAGGGTGAACATTATTCTTGCAAAATCCTACATGCAAAGAAAGCCTTGGGTAAGTGACAGTTTAATGCTGGTGGGGTTTTCTGTCTGTTTTTAAGTAAGAACTCAGAGGTTTGGATCCTATGAAGCTTCAATTCATAGTCTTTTATTAATTTGACTCCAACCCCACAAAGCTTCTTCCATAAGCATTCCCATGGCATCCTTGGAATGCTGTCATAGCATCACCAAACAGCTTCACCCAGAAATACAAACACAGCCTCCCCACTCCCCCCACCCGAGCCAGCCCCCTGATGAGCAGGACACTGTCACGAACAGCAAAGGCTGGAAAACAGAAACAAGCAAGCAGCCAGTTCTCTTCAGTGCAACCCCCACGCAACTGTGGAGCTCTTTGGACATGTCTGTGCTGCCATCACTCAACAGGCTGCAAAAAACAGACCAAAGCTGGCTCATGGCTCAGCAGGATTTGTTTCCAAGTTCACCTGTGCTTTGCTCCACGTTACCCAGCTGGGTCATGTACACAAGAGACCTCACTAATTCATGCCTAGTTCAGCCTGGGATCAAAGCACAGACATATCTTAAGGTCTTATAACTGACCTTTTACTCCAATTTCAAAAAGTGTTCATGACCAGAAAAATAAAAGGAGAACAATGATGGGCATATTGCAGAACTGGAGTTTGCCATAAAACTGCTTGCCCAGCAAACCCTGTCTGTTCTCCAGCTGAGGCAGAGGTCAGAGCCTGGGACACTGACCCCCAGCCCATCCCAGTCCATCAGGTCACCACCAGCAGACCACTTGCCCTCTCAGTCTCTATCTGCCTGTCTACAAAACTTGGATGGAGCTCTGAGCTCCTTCCATCTCCTTTTGTAAACATGGATGTGTGTGCACAGTGGCTACTCCACAACCAATCCCACCAGTAAGCCAGGAGTCCTTGTGAATCCTTCCTCCAGTATCCCTCACATGACCTCCTGTTATTTACATCCCTCCTTACTACTCTTTTCACTTGGACAATCTGGAAACAGAACTAGTTTATCTTCTTTCTGCTCCTCTTCCCCTGGCCATTGACACACCATGTGCCAGTTCAGTCTGAGGTGTAAATCAAGCAAAGGACAGTGTCTGTCTCCAGGCATTCTGCAGCGACTGCAGGCAGTGACTTGGAACAATGCAGCTTTAACCAAAAATATCAAACTTTCCCATTTCTCAAAAAACCTGTAGAACTGAAATTGGAACTGCAAGTGCAAGCCTTATCCAGATTTAAGGTTGATAACTAATGCATAATTTATTGTTCTCAATACTAATGGAAACACTTTATAAATTCCTCTGTCTCCTAACAGTCCAGTTCACTTGTCAGATGCTGGCACATAAAAAAGGGAGACCAGGAGAGCACTCAGAAAGACTGAAAAGGTACTCTGGCATCGAGCACTGCCCTGTTTTTCTAAAAGTTTAGATGTACCTTCCTATCAAAACATTTTACAGCTTTGGTGAAAAATATTTTGATTAAGATACAAATGGACATTTTCATTTGAGCTAAATTCTCCTTGCTGTAATCACACCCCTTCATACAAGGAAATTCTTGGAATGAATAAACAATGAAAACAGCTCTTGCAGTTTTCCTCCCTCTCATCCCCATGGTGGGATACAAGCCACTGTGAAAAATGAAAATTCCCGTTAGCTAAAACTAATTTCAGATGCCTGTAACTTTTAAAAAACAAGGGTTAATCTATTTCAAAACACCGTATCGACTACGTACTGGTCTCACTTGTACCTCCCTCACTGATCTCAACTATTAAGAAATCCTTAGGAACTGATATCTAGGACTTGCATGCACAAGAACTACTTGATTTCAGGAGTGAACAATGCTGATGGAGTTGATGAAGTCATAGCTGCATTGTAAAGACACAGCCAAAGACAATTTAGATGTCTAAGAACATATAAACCTGCTCAGAAACACAACCATGAGTCAGCACAGGTTTTAGTAACTGGTGCTTTGTTCAGAATTCATGCACAAGGAAATAGAAGCCTCTTCCAATAAAAAATGCTTCACTTCCACTGGGGCCTCAATTCAGTCACTAATTTGAGTGACATTGCTGAGCTTTGAGCACTGGTAGAAGCTGAGTTTTCCTTTAGAGTAGCAATCTACTTCTCACACTTCTTACAGGACTGCCTGGCACACCTCAGGAACCTCAAACATTGGACTGCAAGGCATGTTTGGGGCTTTGTCCCTGCCTTGAGAGCCTTGCAATTCAAAGGTCACAGCAGTAACCTGTAACAGCAACACTGAAAGGAAAACCTGAATTATACATTATGCAAGAAATCAACAGGAGATCCTAAAGCCCTGATACACCATAAAGTAAAATATGAAGAATAGTAAAACTAAACCAACCTCAACAGGAATTTCCAGCAGACTCCCCTTCTTCCAGGGCACAATGCCTTTAAGAATAAAATCCACTACTTTAGAATTTTTTAATACTTCGCCCACAAATGTAATAACTTTATCCAGGGTATCAACCCTTTTCTCTATCTTTGCCAGCCTCTCCTTATGCTTTGAGGCATCTAGCTGGGCAGCTTTCATCAGCTTCAACACTTCTGAGCACATGCTGTGGACGTCAGCCTGGTGAGCACTGTCCGATACCTTCAGGCCTTTCTGCATTTCATCTGTGTCAGCAGGAGCTGCTCGGGACACTGTGAGCTTGTTAATGCCTTTTTCTACATCATCAATGCCTCTGTTAACCTGCTGCAGTTTGCCTGTCAGGTCTTCTTGGAAGTGCAACAGTCTGTCCATCTTTTCGTTCAGGAGGAACAGTTTTTTGTCCACTGTGCTTAGATTGATCACTTTTGCAGGCTGTAACTTTGTCAGGGCACTTCCCTCTGCGAGGTCCAAGCTGCCTGCAGACATTGCGTCCAGACAGCAGGATGTCAGACAGGTTAGGCTGCCTTTTCATTAATCATAAATTAGAAAATGAGGCTCTGAAAGTTCATCTTCTTCAGCTATTCCTATACCAGACAACCTCACTTACTGGAGTCGCTAGAGCATATCATGAGATAGCTACTGCACAAAAGATTTATTTCTGTGTTATCTATTTCTTACTGTGGGCTTTCAGTGATGGAAGTAATTTGGCACCAGACTATGTTTTCTTGGGCCTCCTTGACGTCACAAAACCATTTAAAATTCTTTCTCGAGTGGCTGTTGATAGGCAAGCATCTTAACAATTGCCAATGCCTGCTCAGGCCTTCGGGGGAGGAGGATTGTTTTTATGACCAGTTTTAGTTCTGTGATAATGAAAAGGTGCTAGAACATTTCCCTTCATTAAACAGGAAAACTATATAAGTAAATTTGCTGGCCTTGTGCTGAAGCCTGGAAGAATTCTGCTTTGTTGCACGGCTGCAGAGCACCCATCATAGAACAGGGTATGCTCTTTAGGTTGGCTGGCACTTGAATTTAAAAATAGAGCACAATGACAATGATCTGAAATACGTATCTAGCACCAGCATGTCTCTGTCAACTGAAACTTCTAAAATTAAATCTTTCTCCTGGGTTATGAAAATGAACCGAGTTAAAAAAATATCAGAATGAAGGCACAGCGGAATTAGTCCAACTATTAGCAACAAAACTATTAAATCATAAATCTTGAAGGACTTGTTGCTGACTTGCTTTTCGGTTCTGAATCACAGCATATCTCCTACAACAGCTACAGTCACTAGAGAACAGGAGTCACTTCGCACTGCACAGCCCCCACTGCCACAGTTCTGAATGCTTTAGAAACATTAATGAATGTATCCTTACAACACAGCACAGAAGGCGAGTCAGTTCTCTTCCACAGAGGATGAACTGTGGCAACAAGAGAGCAAGCAGTTTGTCCCATGCCAGATGTGGCATTGTGTCACACGACTCTGCCCACTTCTCCTGGGTCCCTTTTTGCTGCTGTGTGTCCATAGAGCAGGGAGGAGAAACCAGTGGGGAAACCCTGATGGTGCAGGAGTC